AAGCTGAAAAGCACTGCTACAAGGGGACGACAACTATTCAATCAATGAACACTGCCTGCCTGGGGTCTTTAACATCCACAGAAATCAATGGCAGCATCTCTCAACCTCAGCCAATGTCAGATTATACTTGCAGCAGTAATGGAGGCATAAATACAAGGAGAAAGAAATGAGCAAACTATTAATTGTGAACAAGCACAAAAACTTTCTTATGTATTCTTTATGAAACTAGCAGTGAATGCAGTTAGCTGCAACCAAGCACACCAAGCACAAGACAGTACATGCACAGCAATTTCTCACTGCAAAGAGCTGTTTACTTTCATGAGGACATGCAGGAGCAAGTTACCAGCCACTTCACATACATTATTTGAAACTACTGCCCTAAATGACTGTATGTGAATTTTGATTCAAAACAAAAACTAAAAAAAATCCAAGCAAACCAAACCCCCAAATCAGGTCTCAAATACTACAGAGATTACACAGGGGAAGTTATATAAGTCAGTAACTTTCACCCGATATTTTACCTTTACAGAATCATAGAATCAGCTAGATTGGAAAACACCTTTAAGCTCATCAAGTCCAACCCTTACCCCAGGACTGCCAAGACCACCATTAAACCATATCACTGAGGGCCTCATCTACACAGTTTTTGAACACTCGCATGGATGGTGATTCCACCACTTCCCTGGGCAGCCTGTTCCAATGCCTGAGCACCCCTTTGGTGAAGATATATCCCAATATCCAAGCTAAACCTATCTGGTGCAGCTTGAGGCCATTACCTCTTGTCCTATAGCTTGCTACCTGGGAGAAGAGACCGACCCCACCTCACTACAACCTCCTTTTCAGGCAGTTGTAGAAAGCGATAAGGTCCCCCCGAGCCTTCTCCAAACTAAAAACACCCAGTTCCCTCAGCCGTTCTTCATCAGACATGGGTTTAGGCCCTTCACCAGCTCTGTTGCCCTTTTCTGGACCCACTCCAGCACCTCAATGTCTCTTGTAGTGAGTGGCCCAGAACTGAACACAATATTCGAGGTGCAGCCTCACGAGATTATCTCTGTTATTATCAGACCTTTTTCACTTTCAGTTCTGTTTAAAATTTACTTTTAAAGTTTAAGTTTATGACTTTTGCTTTATGTTTCAAGAAGAGATGAACTGGCAATGTACATCTTAGCAGCATGACATGGGAAAGATAGGGTGAAAGCCAGCAACCATCAGAAGCACAGAAACACCAAGAATGATAAATTAATTAAAGTGGCATAAAAGGAACATAAAAAAAACCCTGCAAATGGGGAATTTTACACCAAAGAATGTTATTTCTTGAGGACAAAGTCATGATATTTGACTGCAGCAGATTCCTAAAGGAAAAAGTGGCCTGTTTCAAGGAACTGCAGAATCAGAAAGAGCACATAAATCATGGAGAGGATGCTGGGACACTGCATGGCCAGGAAAATGGACAGACTGATGTACCTGATCTCCATCTCTAAAACTGAGACCTCGCTATAAAGCCTTTTATCATTAAGAAAGAAGCAGTTTGCAAAGACTGAAACAGATTGCAGCTTAAATATCTCTGCAAATTAAGACACTTTGTAGGAAAAACACCAGTCAAGTGTAGTGTTTATTCTAAGCACTTTACTGCCTCAGACTCATTAATCTGGTACCTTACAGGCTCTCTTTGTAATGTAAATTTGCTAAAATACTATGTTTTACATAAAACATTCATATAGACAAGCTCACACTGCTCAAACACCAACTGTAAGTGGACCAAAAATATACTAGATTTTTCTTAATACTTGGGCTCTGAACCTCAGTCTTATCTGCATAAGCAGTTTGTGAGAAACATTCTGCTGCTGCTGCAGCCACTGCAGCACAAAGGTTCAAGATTTCCCAAAGTAGCTGATGTAAGCTATTATAAACTGAATTACCACATGCAAAAGCCAAACGAAAAGACTTTATGTAAGGTACCTAGAGCAGAGGTTTTTCTGAGGAAGAGAAATCATTACAGAGAGGAGAGGAGATACCTAGCATTTAGGGAGGCCAAACATTGCACATACTGCACCTGCTTGCTGAGGTCCTATTTAATAGTCACCTGCTCAACACACAGTGTATCGCCATGAGGTTTTACTGGGAATCTTCACCATGTAGCACCAGGCTGTAACCGCTGCACTGACTGGACATAATGCATCCACCCAACACTGCTTGGAGCCCAACAGGAGATACAAAATCTTCCTGCCCAAAGTCTCCAGCTGAACCTGACTTAGATGGTCCACACAGTGGAAGATGACCCAGGGCTGGAGAGGGCTGAGGGAAGGGAAAGGTTCCTGGTTTAAGGCTTACAAAGCTGTGGAGAAGGACCAAAATATCCCCTTAAGTGTACAGTGTTATGATGACTCTCTCCCATCTCCAATAGACTTAGGTGTTGGAATAAGAAATACCCTAGCAAACCTATGGCCAGCTGAGATTCACAATATAAATTGCATTAAACCAAATCCAAATACACAGGATAAATGCAGAAAATTTCATGATCTTTTCCTCCTCCCTCTACAGGTACCACCTACCTATGTTTCAAAATGATCTAAAATTGTGCCATCTCAAACTCTGAGCAACCTCCCTCATCCTGTATTTAGTTTTAAAAACAGCCATTTCCTTTTTAGACTTGAAGGAGATTTGGGAGAAACGTGGAAACTGTCTAATTTTTACAACTACACAAGTTGGCCTGATAGAAGAAGATACTATCTGCAGGTACAAGGTGTTCCCAGATTTCCCAGAGCTATGAGTCAGAACTCAAGACATTGTTGCCTGAAGTGACCGAAGGATCTACACTGGTTTTCATCGTGGTTCAGAGCTAAACTGCAAAGGTGACGGAGGGCATCTTAACAAGAGGTTTTCTTTACTCTGCATAATAACATGCCAGCTGCAAGCCAGGTGTACTCCCAGCCTGTCTGCTAGACCTGGTTCCCAACCATTCAAAACACACTGAAGCTCCATTACTGCTCCTGAACCCAGATGCCTTCTCAAAGGAAACCAGGTCCCCAGTGGGGACATACTGTGATGCACCCACACCACACAGGCACCGCAAGGCAAGGGCTCAGAGACTGGAAACTGCACCCCAGCATGACTACCCCAAAGTATAGACATAACCAAAGTGAATCCGACTTAACATGAAACTTCTATATAATTAGAAGAAATTAGCAGAGTCAGTGGCAGGAGAAGAAAAAGAGGGAGGGGAAAAGTTTGGGGTGGGATCTACCATCAAAACCAAACCAAACCATTAACTCAGCATATCAGCTTCACAAGATGTTAAGAAAATAAGTACTTGTTCAAACACCTGCACTGATTAAAAGAGCAGGAACATACTGAAACTGATTTGGTTTTGAAATTCAGTTCATTTGGCACACCCTCCACTTCTGAAAGAAAACAAGCAGCAAACGGAGACAAGCCATAGCGTGAGCAGCCACGCACTCTCCTGCCCACCTGCTTCAGCCCGACTCAGAGGAACATACCTGGCTATACCAGCTTAGTGTCATCTTTAAACATGGTCCTCAGCCTGTCCATTAAAATGGTCAATAGTGATGCCAGCTGAGAAACGTCCATCACTGGAATCTCATTTTCACAGGTCATTGGTTAGCCAGACAACAACAGCTTCTAGCCATTACTGACCTCACTTTGACATGAACTGCTGATTTCCAGGAAAACAACGAGCCATGAGCTACCCACTTTCCTAATCATAATTAATCCAAAACCAAAACCACTTATCTGTTTCCATAAGATTTCGTTCATACAAAATATAAACGTGCAATCATCCTGCAAAGTTTCTGGAATGTGAACACTAACTTCATAAGAATCCGAATGCATTCAGTTCATTTACTGAGGCAAGGAGTACCTTATTAGAAGTAGGTGGTGTTGAACAGAAATTCACATCAGAACAGTTCGGATAACAAAACGTTCTGCTGCATTGACCCCCAAGTAAGCTGACAAAACAGATATACACAGGTGTGCCTTATGATGGAAAAATTAACTGTGATAAAGAAAATAATAAAATACCTTTTAGATATGTTCCATTCTCAAAGTCATTAAGATGCAAAACTAATTATAAAAAATGCCATCTCCATACAGCTCAAGTACACAGGACAAAAAGAAAACAAACCTGCCTGGATGTTTGCAGTAGTGTCTGCTTTAATGGCTCTGGCAAAATTGTCTTCCTTAGCTGATCAGTCCTGCTTCCACTGTAACACTCAGAGCAATGATACAGATAGATCTGGGTTTTTTTAGAAAAAAACGAAGCAAACCCAGCATAACACACTTCAAAAAAAAGCATACAAACAGTTATGTTCTCTTACAGACATTTTAAATGCTTGCTATTTGCAAAGTTTTTCAATCAGCGAGACAGACTGCACATGTTTGACTCCAGTAAAATGACTCCTGAGAAAGTCTGCCTTGATCTAAAATTCTTATACTTGGGTTTTAATTTTCATTCATATTTACAGGAATCTGCTTCCTTCAATTTCTTAATTGAGACTGCACGGCTTGAAATATGCCCACCAGCTATTATATAACTGCAAATCTACTTGTATAAGAGATACACATTCTGAGGCTTCAGAAATAATTAAGCATTCCAGATGTTCCTGCAGTTTCCCGAGGAGCAGATACCAAGAACCAACATCAACAATCAAGACCACTGGTCACACCCAGCCTCACAGCTCCTGTACTTCGATGTTACAGTGATTCACAGAATTGCTCCCACAGTAACCATCAAGATACATGGAAATTACACAACAAACCCACAGCTGGCTGCCCGGGGGGTTGTGGAGTCTCCTTCTCTGGAGACATTCAAAACCCGCCTGGACACATTCCTCTGTAACCTTATCTAGGTGTTCCTGCTCCAGCAGGGGGATTGGACTAGATGATTTTTTTAGGTCCCTTCCAATCTCTAACATACTGTGATACTGTGTGTGTGAACTGGCTGTGTGCTTCCGGTTTCCACTATGAGCTAATCTTCTACTCACCAGGTTCTCGGTCCTTAGTGGATATGCACTCTTTTATAGACTCTGTTATGCCAAGACTAGCTGCAGTGGGGAGTGGGCCAAGCAAGGATTCCAGTGCAGGTGGTCTTACAAGAATTTCATTTCCATTTGTGCATTTCTCATCTTCATTTTTTCTTACTCTATCATTCTCATGAAGTTCATTATAGAAGTCCTTGTTTAAGTGATTAGCAGCTGCTTCTAGTTCCTCATCTTCTGCCTCCTCCTCTGCAAGAGTACTAGAGGTATTATCTTCTATAGAATCTGTAAGGAAAAAAAACAAACAAACCAACAGATCATACCATCTGTTACAGAAAATAAAGGGAGGTGCTCACATAAAGAATAAAAACTTTTAGAAAAAATCTATAGAAGAAATAACACAATATTTTGGCACAATGTATGAATACATGGAGTTTTCAGATGCTCTTCAAATTCATTACCTTGGCTATTATTTTTGTGAATACAGTCATCATTTAAAATAGAAGTATTGTGTTATCAAATTATGGCAGGTAAAAAGGCTTTGGGAGAGAAGTCGGCCACTTACTGGTATAATTACAAATGAGCAATAGCCAGATCAACCTGCACAAAGCCCTTCCATATCACTTAGTCAGCTGGGGGGTTCAGTGGCAGAAGGGTCCCAATATTGGTCCACTGCACCCTTAGTGATGAAAAGGAACATTTTCAGATGCCAGTGCCAAGCTTATACTGCACCAAGAAAAAAACACGACTGAAATCACTAATGAATTGCCATTGTAATGAACAATGAAGCTGCTTTGAAAACCAATAAATGAACCAGCTGACTGGCAGAGAGAACCCCAATGCAACAGAGAACTTGTACTACGCAAGCATATATATGATCACGTTTATCACAATAAAGTTTATACACTTAAGACTGCCTGCAGGACCTAAACCCATTACTATTTAGCAGTTGCAAGACTTGATGGACTTACCATCTTTAGTGTAATTTGCAAATACGCCTTTTGCTTTTGGTCTACTGCTTTCTAATTCAATCTCTATTTCATCTTGATAGCTTGATATTTCACCTGTGGTGTTCAAATAAAAATAAAACTCAGCAATCACTGATGTAATTTTGAACAAATGAGTAATATGTTACACTAAACACAACTTATACCTTCAAAATCCTCCAGCTTTTTTGATAGCGCTTTCTCAAGCTGAAATGAAAATAAACATGAAATTACTATAAGCCCCCGCAAGTTTGTACTGTTTGTAAACTCTAGATAGAGACAGAGAATGGTAGGGTATTTTAAAAGCAATGTGCAGGTTTTGAACCTCAACTCAAATTACTTTGTAGTGTCAGAGAGGTAAGACAGACAAGTTTCAAAATACTGACCGATTTCAAATGTTATCTCACCCATCTTTATACTTCAAAAGGAACCTTCATTCTGGCAAACTGAAATAAAAGGCCCCATTCTTCAGCAGCCAGATCTATGACTGTGCCTATAGATGTAAGCAAGTGCAAGGACAGCACTGAAATTGCAGTGCCCAGGCCAGACACAGCACACAGGCAATGGCACAGTGAAGACCTACAGCAACTAGCAGGCTCTTGAGAACATCATAAACACACCTACAGACCTTTAAATGATGGTATATATGGAACAGTAAAAACAAAAAACCTAGAAGAAAATAAATGTAAGAATAGGCTATGATTGTAGTAAAACCTTCTCTGGCGCGTTAGTTCATGCTTTGTGAAGAAATTAAGCCACATGAGAACCTATCTGTGGAAGCAGGTGCTGTACCACAAAAAACCCCAGCAGCCTCATTAAAGTAATTGGGTTATTGTCTTCATGTGTTTTAAAAAAAGAAGTTATATGTAATGGCAATTCTCCCACAGTTTCTGATCCAATTATAAAGCTTATTCCTTTGCAACCCCAATCCTTGCTAACCAGGGTAGAAGGGTGCATTCAGCATATAAAAGCGAAATGGATATTAGGATATTAGGTGGATATTATAATGTTTATTAGGACAGCTACTCAAGACCTCCACACCACTAGCTCAGCTGAACTTGTCACATGAGAGCCTCCTGTTTTGTGAGGACGAAAAGATTTGGTGCTTTGGCAAAAGGCCAAAGCACAAGAAGGGAAACATACATACAGCAGGAAAGCAAGCACAAGGAGGCAACGGTGCTTAGTGTAACTGCATCAGATTGCAAATGGGGGGGCATCTGGGCACAGTGTGCTGAGCCCTCACCTACAGTAAGTACAGCAGTCATGGGCTAAGCACCAAACACTGGTAGCTGTGCAACACAAAAGCTCAGCTGGTGCTCATTTACTTGGCCACCCAGATATCCTGATCTGACTAACAAGAGCAGTGACTCTGTACTTCCCGCAGCAGCTGGCTAAGACAGCAGGCAGACTTCGATCCCTCATCAGGGGATATTTAAAGGTACATCTGAAGCTACACATCTGAAAGAGCGTGCCTCCCTGGAGGAGTGAGCAAAAAGTATATAGGAGAAAAACTTTCATATATATATATATATATAAAAGAACTGGAAGCTGTCCCTTTGTCAGTAAAACAAAAAAAAAATCCTTTAGTTAATAGGTATATGCACTAACACTCACCCTTCTCTTAAGAACCTCAAAATATATGTAACTAAGCCTTATCAAAGGCTGGTCAGTTAGGAATTAGAATATACTGATTCAAAAAGGAATATACAGATGTAGAAGAGAGGAGAGAGGTAGAAGAGAGGAGAGAACATCTGGTTCAGAATTCACCTGCTGTATCTTCAGTTTTTTTTGACCAGCTGTAAATGAAGGAGGATCACATTCTCCTTCCAAGTCAATCTTCATAAACTCATCTATGGTTAACTGACTTGTTGGTGTATCTTCAAACTCCGTCAACCTACCAAAGCAACAACACATTACTATGACAACTTTATGAACACTTTTAAAAGCAATAAAATTTGTTAAACTGCTAAGTTACAGAATAAACATGTCATCCTGAGAAACTCTGGCTCAAATACAGACTACATTAAAACTGAAGTGATACTACTTGTTTCATCTGCTGCAACAAAAGTCTCTTTTCATATCACAAATTGACGTATTAACAGTATGTTACACACTTTTTTTTGACTAAGACAGATTAGAAATACTGCAGCCCCTATGATCAATTAAGTATAGACTGACAAAACCAAGACAAGAAATGCAGCTCATTTCTCCTGTCTTGCTGCTTTTGTTATCAACAGGAACAACGAAACAGACTCTCAAACTAAAATATCTACCATCATAGTTTGCATTATTAATTTATGCTAAGCAAATATTAAGGTAACATATCTTCAGCAGACTAGAAGAGGAACAAGAATTAACCTTCCCAGGACACACAGAATCAGTAGTAAAATAAAGGGATCATTCACACATAGCACAAAATAGAATAGATGAATGTGTATAGTTTACAGTAATACACTTTGCATTTGTTTAATGTTCACATGTTAGAAGTTCCTACCTATGGGAGAGAAAGCACTAGCTCCACGGGGAATTGCCATGAAAGCAGTTGAGTCAAAGGAACTGAATCTTAAATGAGACCATATTGTCATAACTTCATCCACAAATTCCAGCATTTTATACAGGTGGTTAACAATGAACACGTCCATTTTACAGATGGAAAAAGCGAAACAAAAGGTTAAACATAAAGCCAGATCAGGAAATATCTGGCAGAATGCTGTTCTGATAGAAAGTGCCCTTTTAATAATATCAACATTTTCCATGGGAAAACAGCAATGATCGGTCTGCAGCTGCTTCACTGGAATATTCTCATCTTCCAGAGGAAGCAAAGTTGACAACAGCTTCCATGTGCAAAGCTAGGAAACTGAAAAGGGTGATTCAGTACTTCCATCACAGGACCTTCCAGCATTTCTCCCCCTGCGAAATGCAGTCATGGTTTTCTCCTCTACGTCGAAATGCAAACAAAGTTCCTTCCAAAGAAGAAACTTTCTCTAGGACAGAAATCTAGTCTCCAAACAACTCCACGGACAAACTCAAGAGCCCAGGGCCACACTCTCTCCTTGTATCCTCATCAGTACCTTTATTTCCCTTTCTGTAAATTGAGGAGCAAGGCAAGACATCCCCCTGCAAAGGGATGGAGGCATGCTGTAACTTCAGGACACTTTGCCTGGAAGCACCCTGTTCCCAGAGCTACTGCTACTGCTAAACCCAGGACAACAGGCTACAGGTCCACAAAACACGCAAGGAGATGGGCACCTCTATGCAAAACCAACAAGCAGCACACTGTGCCCACTCATGGCTATGCCAACCAGAATTAGCACTGCTGAGAAGAAAGCCTCTGAAACCTAGTCTCACTTTTGGAGTTCAGGCATCTCCACAAAGCCCCACATCAGTCATGCATTTGAGAGTGACTGACAGCCCAAGTCCTTCCCTCAGAGTACCAGGGACCAGCTCCCTCCTCCTCTTTCGGATCAAATTGGAAAGGAGAAGAGGATGCTGTTCACGGCAGCAGCACCCAGCTTTTAACTAACAGACTAGAAAACCTTCCCAGTGTTAACGGGCTTCCAGCATGTATTACCCACCTTCCAGGAGGGAGCCTCATCTATCAGGCTAGAAGGAAAACCTGGCTAAGGCACTGTTATTGTTATTTTAATTCAGGATCTACTTAATGCCAAACCCATGTATTACTTTAGGAGCATGAATCTTCTCAGTTGCCATCATTAAACTACAGTCATCCATCTCTCCCTGGTATGAATCATGCACTCACAGGTAGTTCCACTTCAGCAAGACTTTTCCTCCCAACCAGCCTCGCCTCGTTACAGTATTATCCTCCTCCCACTGTAAAAAGCCAACATGCACTTTGGCAAAGTTTGTTTATCCCACGCTTACTGAGTCTGAGATGAGCAGCCAGACTCTGAACCCAGCCAAAACAGCACAACCCCGGGTATGCGGAACTAGCAGCAAAACCAGTTGCTCATGAAGCAAGGCTGGGGACAAGCACCTAACCCCATGCACGTCTCCTCAAAGACACCTGAGGCCTCTGTCTGCCCCTATCCTTGTCCACCGTGTCGTGTGCCTCACATCACATACCCTGCCCCCATCAGAGGTTCGTTATCCCACATGTGAGCCAACGTACAGGCAGTTGGCATGATCTGCAACTCAAGGACCAGCTTCAGCCCTGAGCTAAACCAGCAGCACAGGTCTCTCCCAAGGCCTTCAGTGCATGCACACCAGGACAGGCACAGCTATGTCATGTTTGCTAGTGGTGCTTCCAGGGAGCTCAAACCAACAGCACAGCACAGTTCAACCATCCAACCTGGCCACAAGCATTCAGTCCTGTGCCCATGCCCATGCCCTCTTCTTCCTCAGTCCTCAGCCAAGCCAAACAGGGTGAGGGCTGCATGCCCGTGGTGAAGGCTGCCAGCGTTATGTTGTACGCACAAGCCAGTGGCAAGCTCACATTTAGAGTTGCACATTATTTATTCACTTCTCACTGGTCTTACCCACAAAGCTCAAACCATCCTCCAGAAATGAAGAACCATCCCTGAGTCAGGATCATAGCTCTGTGGGAGAATGAGCTGTTCACTCCTTTTTCTCCTTTAACTTGATATAAATAAATACCTGTGTTTGCCAACCACTTGCCTGCCTCAACATTTTACATTGGCCGATATCCTGTCTATATATTTTAAAACATTTATTTAACTTTATCCAGTGTTGGGACACATGCCACCAAGGCAACAAACTGATGCACGCAGCAGTCTACACCGCACAAAACAAGGTAGTGTTAGTTCAGCAGCTATGAAAAACTGACGCAACCTCAATTATAAACACAATAATTTCAGGGGCGAGGGAGTGCCTGCATGAAAAAAATAGCTACGGGCTATTTTTCAAGTGTGTCCCCCCCACCAAAAAATGATACTTGCTTTGCACTTTCGTTGATCTAAAAAAATCTAGTAAGAGTTGCCATTTCAAGTTTTGCACAGAAGGAGGAAAATAAACAGCTACCCAAATTAAGATATTACATCCTTGGCACAAATTCAAAAGGGCTCTAAAAGTTGAAATTTGGCAGACAAGTATTTTCTATTTATAGTCAAAGCAGAACAACCGCTACAGCTCAGGCTAAAATTCAACTTCCAGTATAAACCCTCCTCTTACAGTTTCTCACAGCAAACTCTTTCAGGCAAATTCCTTTGGGAGAAAAGTTTTTCCAGAGCTTGATGTCATCTGCCCCTAACCCCAGCCCTTTATTTTTTTTTTTAAAGAAAAATTTCCACGGCTTTTATTTCATCCGTTTATGGACAAATCCACACCTCACCGTCTGATAAAGCACTTTTGTGTACAAAACAGTAAAGCGATTCTGTTCACACTTAATTTAGCTCCCAATAAGGGAAAATGGGTCAGTCATTTTGAAGTTCCGAGCAAAGTTTTTTTCCCTGGTTTTGTTTCAGGGATACCATCCAGTGAAGAATTATGAATCCAGTCTACAGCCAAGGGAATAAAAAAGACTCCTGTGTGCAGCTAGCTGCTCGGGTTTAATGTTTAATTGAACTTCTGCAGCAGTGGGGCATGACAAAGCACGTAGAAGAACAAGGTCTTCTGGAGCCCAACTCACAAACGCTTCTGGAGTCCGAGTTCAAGGTCCAAGAGGGACTTCTAAGGAGAGACCATTTAGGAGAAGCCACAGCATCCTCGTATGTACACACAATCAGCACCTAGCTCTATAAAGCAGGCAGCATAAAGCAGAGGTATCTTGTGCTGGACCTCTGTAGAGAAGGGCAAACAAATTATAACTTCAGAGACAACTGTTTTTTTAAAAAGTGAACACGAAATTTAGACTGAGCACTCAGCCTTTAAGTTACCTGCTGCGAGAGGTCTTTTTAAAAGTATTAAAAATAATTCATTAATCGATTAAAAAAAGTACTAAGCTGAATATTGGCACATTGCTAGCAGGAATACATGAAAAAACTTAACTGCAAGATAAGCTGCTGGTGGTAATTAAGTGCCCCTGATTTTTCTCACACTAAGAATATAATCTAAACCCTAAGTAATAAGTTACATGTTATCTACATGATCTTAACTGCCATATCAATTACAAATATTCTAGTAATAGATCAGCTGATTTGACAACTCCAACACTTGGAAACTCTGAAAAAGTGCAGGATTTACAGGATTTTTATTTTAATGAAGTACCAAAATATTGCAGTACATTCCCACTGTGTCTAATGCTGCCTATCACTCTAAACATGTGCACTCACTCACAGGAGTGAAGTTCAGAATCTGCACTGATGTGGCAGACCATTGCTGTTTCTTCAACTACAAATTTACCAGTCTATTGCATCACCCTCCTCTCCCACTTTTCCAAGTTATACAATGTTTACTCGTGAAATACTTACAGAAGCATGTAAGCACATACCCTGAAAGTGATACTTAGAATATGTATCAGAAACAGTTATCAAATGCTTCCTACATGACATAAAAAATGTTTTCCAGTATCCACCAGTATGTAAATAAACAGAAGTGTAATTTCCTTATATGTAATAATTGTACATATATACTTCTAGATGTACTTCCAGGAATATAAAGGGTATTTTTAAAGCCTGTATGAATGAGTAGCTCACTACTAAAGCTAAGGAAAAAATCAGAGGTGAGCCAGTTAGCATGGTTTTACAACTTACAACTTACCACCTGGGGTGTGCTAAATTTGTCTGACTGTGTTCCTGGCTCAATGCAACTGTAAAGAGAAGTATTTTCACTTAAACAGCTTCCATGGTGTACTACATTAATGCATTTCATCTCTTTTTGCAGTGGACTAAGACCATACACAGTCATCTGCTGCAGATTAATTTGGTGACTAATAATCTATGGTGCTCATTTGCTGGCAAATCTCAGTCACTCTTCTAC